TTGCCATTCTCAATCTGTACACTATGCCAAACTAATCAAAGTCATCTCTGAATTTTTTTGCACTTGAGTTGCTATTCTCAATCTGTACACTATACATAACTAATCTTCTGATATATTAGTTTCAAAGTGATAAAATTTCTCTAACAAAATATCTTCTCAGGATGCGACTGCAAACGATGTCCCAAGGGACACCTTTGAAGTCCAAGGATTCCCGACTATGTACTTTAGATCTGCAAACGGTAACTTGTCCCAGTATGATGGAGGAAGAACAAAGGATGACATCATCAGCTTTATTGAAAAAAACCGGGACAAGCCTTCTGCCGAGTCAACCTCAGCCAAACCAGAGTCGGAAGCAACTGAACCTGTAGATGTTGACTCTGACTCTGTCAAGGATGAATTGTAGAGAGGTAGTGATCGATCTCGATAGAATCATTGAAGTTAGTTTTGGTCTGTTATTTTTTCCTCACCCCATTTTTCTTNTTTTTGCTTTGCAAGGTTTTGTGCTCCAAGAGAGAATAAGTTGGTCGACAGAGTGGCGGATTGATATTTGCTTTTTGCCTTTTTTAACGTTTCTAGTGTTTTGAGGTCAAATAAGTTGGTTATGTACCTGGATTCGGATCGGAAATCTAGTTTTCTGAAGTTAGTATGAGATCCAAAGCATTTAGTAGACATGAAGTATCACTATATATATATATATTATTATACAAGATAAATTGAGTTTCATGGTCGTGCCCTTATTCAAATTAATAATCAAATCTGACGAAACCAATTAAACAACGAATTTTTTATATATGATTACATGAACCGATTTATCTCTCCCTCTCATATGTCAGTGAAGATTAAAACCAAAATTCACGAAAATAAAGAAATCTTGTTGTAAACTAGTTGACGAGAGCTGACATATGGTATGAGGTTTGGTACTCGAAATTGATTACTCTGGAAGTGTACACAGTTGCCGTCAGGGACCAACTTGGAATTAACAAGTGAATAAATATTACACGTACAAGTGAACGAATATTATGTACAACACAACTTGAAACTTCACGTATCTTGAGCTATCGTAAACAAGTTGACATGTAACATAGAATGCAACTTGAAACGGTACTTAGCTACGGATACCAAACTCCCTTGGGGGCCAGAGAAAACACATATTCAACATGTTAGAAATAATTTGTTCTTATACCGAAAAAAAAAAAGAAAATAATTTGTTCACAATTGAGTTTGACCTGGTTTTGGCTCATTTTATTCTGGTAAAATATTTAATCCAGGTTGAATTAAATTGTGTATAAAAATTTCACATTCGGAATAGATACTCGTGATAATTTATTTTCTCAAAACTGATATTCGGTGCGTGAGAAATAAATTATTAAAATTATTCATTAATAGACGCGTAAAACATTGGTTGTGAGATTTAGAGTGTCAAGATTCATATCCTACATTGGACTTTTAAATGAGAATAATTCTATTTGTTATAATAAAAGAAGTTGAATAGGTCGCAACAACAACAAAACTATGCACTAATTGTTGATAATGACTTTAACCACATGCGGTCCCACCAGCCTTCCAGCGGGCTCGAGCTCGGGCACAGGCCAAAGCATTGGCCTTGGAAACTGGACCGTAGGCTGGACTTGGGTAACCTAGAATGGTGAACGCCAGTGTTGGACTTAGGCCTTGCGCCTAGCTCCTATAATCTTTTTGCTACAAATTTATTTGCAAAAATGTGGCCCAAAATAAAGTTCAAACTAAGTTGGATTTAGACTCAGATTTTGACCCAACCCGTGAGAGACCTCTCAAGTTAAATTATATCTGGACATATTGACTCCACTTGAACATTTCAGGTGGAGTGGCGGTGTGTTAACACCTGAAAACTGCGTAGAGCTGCAGAAAGACACTTATAACATCATCTGCATTTCACTATCTCAAAAGTCTCACGCATCATATACAAGTGCTCAATTCTCGACTCCATTCAAGTTCACCGGAGCTCGAAAGTCTAAAGTGTTACCGCTTATGAGACGTAATCGTTGTATCTTTTGGGCCGAGACGCATGAATCCATCACCACATTACGGGGCGTATTCGTCTTTCGGAAAGAGCAACACCCGCCTCGATTTATTGTCTTTCTGCTGTCAAGATTTTCTTGTAATTTTCAGTTTTAATTCATATTGTAAGAACTAAAAGATCATACTATTTAGTTCATAGGCTTTACGTGGTAATCGGAACACTCAGTTTGTAACCGTTGCCAGACAAAATATCTTCCTATCGAACTGATGGAATCCACTGGAGATAGTTTGAACACTCAACAAAATCAATAGCCTCAGCAGCCGATAAAAAGTGTTGTTCCTCATCATCATCCTGTATCTACTGTACATGTGCCGACTACTGAAAAGCACGAGAAATTTAACGGTCTTGCCTTCAAGAGGTGGCAGCAGAAGATTCATTTTTACCAAACCACTTTGGTTTTGATGAAATACCTGAAGATGCATTCAACCGATTACCAACGATTTTTTTTCCAACAGATCTTTTTCTCAACAGATTACTAACGAATCTTTTACCAACGGTCTGCCAACGGATTTTCATTATTATAAAAAAAGATAAATACACCCTATACAAGATATATCATCTTTTATTGCAAAATTACTAGATTCTAAAATTAATTGCAGAATTGTAAGATTTATCAAAAATAATTAATTTAAATATGCAATTAACAAACTATAGAATTAAATGTAGACTTATCTCTTTGTTGGTATGACACTTTCTCTCTATCTCCTATCTCTTCTTCTCCTTCGTCTCTCTCCCTCTCTGCGTTGTTTTTCTCTCTCCTATTTTTTTTATTTTTTATTTTATTTTTGTTTGATCGGTGGAAGATGACAACTAAAAAAAAGGAAAGGAAAAAAAACCTCTGAGACCCGTTCAAAATCACACACGCAGCTCGACGGAAGCTACACGATCCCAATCGGCGGACAAGGTTTTTCCACAGAGACAAAAGCATGGTGCCGGTGGATGGGAAAGGTGGAGAAGACGACGAAAAACGATGCGTTTAGAGAGTGTCATACGGCACTTCCTATACTTTGGGAATTCTGCCTCATCGGCATTTTCTAAAGACCTCCAATCACAAAAAAATAAAGAACACTAACGAAATGATTCACGGCGGCTAGCGGCGTATATAAGCGGCGGAGGAATGATAGATCCGCCGGTCAGTGGTCGGGGAAAAAAAGTAGATCCGCGATCAACTTTCTTTATTCTATTTTTTTTTTTTTTCTGTGAACTGGTGATGACACAATATATGTTGCGTGTATATGACGTATATGTTCAATATATTCTGTATATATTATGTATAAACTAATCCGATATATATTATGTATATTTCTTCTTTATATATTTTCTGTATATATTCTATATATATTACGAAAAGATCGTGTATTTTGTGTTTGATATGAACTAATCTGTGTATATTCTGTATATATTCTGTATAAACTAATCCGTGTGTATTGTGTATATTTTCTTCTCGTGTTTTCTCATCAGTTTCTGGCCGTGTAATTTGCAATGTCTAAGTTCTGTTTTCATATAAGCAACATGGATTGATTTGATATCGTGTATATTGTGTATATTTTTTCCATCTCGTATTTTTCTCATACGTTAGAAATTTCAAATTAGATATCAACAGGTAATCTATTTTTTTTTCTCGATATCAACAGGTAATCACATGGCGGATTCTTTGGTGAAAACACACTTGCCTTAGGTGTTAAGCCAATCTTTCCGTTATTATAGGAGATTGGTTAATAAGGTAACGGAATTTTTAGGTTTTATCAATATATGAAGGCAATTCAATATGTATCATTGCAATCACGATACTACAGCTCGTAATATTACAATTTTTTTGGAATCTTATAATATGCATAAAATTTCGCCTTACAAAAAAGATATTTTATTTATTTCGATGGACCACCACAAGACACACCTTGAAAGGGCTAACCCATAAGCTTCCACTCAAATTATGATAAGGTTTTTTCTAATTTTGCCTATAGTGAGACTTGAACTCGAGACCTCTTGCATCTCAAAGTGACTTCCACCACTAGATTTATCAATGTATACGATATGGTTTTACAATTCTTATATTTATTAACTTTTACGTGTTAGATATATTGAAACTTAATTTAATAAAACTACTTTCATTTATATAAAAATCAATAACTGTATATATTATAAAGTTATATATTAAATATCTAGAAAGTACATTTTATATTTAAAATCTATAAATATTTTCCCTATTATTTAGAATCTAGTCGTCCATTTATATCTGGTCATTGTATAATATATGTAATCTATAGAAATAGTGACTAAATACATAGAATCGGCTTCCATGGTGGAGTCTGCCACGCATTTCTACTTGACATTCCGCCATACAATGGCTCCCGCAATGAGTAATTACAAATCCTGAGGTAGATTTACTTTCGTTTCGATCTGACTAGAAGTCAGAATCGGTGCAACCCACAGAGATCAAATCGTCTGATCGATCGATCAACATATAATCCTTGATCCTCTTCAGGTACCTAAGAATATGCTTTATCGCAGTCCAATGACAATGTTTAGAGTTACTTTGATACTTGCTCACCATGTCTACCACATAGCATATATTTGACCTCGTACACAACGTTGCATACATGAGAATTCCTACGGCCGATGCATAAAGAACCTTTCTCATGTCCTCTATCTCTTGAGGCGTCTTGGCAGACATCTTCGTGGATAGTGAAATTCCATGCCGAAAGGACAGTTTATTGGAATCTTGCATGCTGAAACGAGCCAGAACAGTGTCTATATATGAAGATTGAGATAAGCACAATATTCTCTTATAGTAGTGCCGAATCGCCTTGATGCCAAGAATGTGTGATGTTTCTCCTAAATCCTTCATGTAAAAATGCTCGGACAACCATACATTTACATCTGACAACACCTTTACATTGTTTCTAATGAGAAGGATGTTGGGATCTGTGAGGATCTCGTTATGTACAAATCAATAGTAAACCTAAACCTATGCGCAGCGGATCTATTGGTTTGACGTAGAGAACTTACGGCTTAAAATTTTTGGCAATCTGGCTTATCTTCCGGATGGCCGTACACAGCACATGAACGGAACTGGATCACGAACAGAAGGTCGGGCTCGCAATCGGGATCGGGTCGTGTGGGTGGAGCTCGCGATCGGGTCGTGTCGCGTCGCAGTTCGCGCAATACGCCGGTTCGGTCGGGTCACGGGGTTGCCGGCTAGTCACGACTTCACGGCGGCGGTGCTCACGCTGAACTGGCGGCGATCGGCGGTCCTGGTCTTCGGGTCGTGGATCGTCGATTGCAGTAGAAGATTATCGGGTTTCGAATACCTATGGATCTTCTACTGTATTACTCAAACACCTCTTCAACTTGTACCAGCGGAGCAACAAGAAGAAGATAAAGCTCGAATGAGAACTGAGAGAGAGAGAGGCGTGTGAGGCGTGTTTCACGTGAGAATGTGAAATCTGTTCTCTTCTCATGAGCTTATTGATGTATATATAGAGTTACAGTAGAGACCTTAGGAGATTTGGAATAGGGCTCCTTAATTAATTAGACTAACTGTGGGCCAAGCCCACTCCTCTAATTAATTAAATAATATTAATGGGCCACCAACATTATGTTATTGCACTCCCTTTTCCTAGCCCAAATTACATTTGAGACTCCAATAATAATTACTCGATTTACCTCCCCACGTTTAAGATATAATGTCCATTAATTAATTCGATTACGGACAATCAAGAATTAATTAATTTATTATTATTTCACCGAAGCTAGCGCTCGTTCATCACATTCTTATTATGCCGCAATTTAATCCACCTGCAGGGTTTAGCATAACAATCCTTCATGAACTCACTCCGGAGACATCATCAAACTAACGCACATGATGACCGTAAATATCCTAACAGCACATCCTATATATAGTAATATTACCCAAAACAGTAGGAATATTGATCCAGCGAACTGAACCTCACCAAAGTGAATCAAAGTAATATGTACTACATATATATGCCTGTTTAATATCTTACGAGTTAAGAGAACGCAGTAATTAACTGAGGCCTAGTTCATTTACGACGATCAGTATAAAATGAACTTCTCCTCTCTGGGATCCTGTTCAATACGTCAATGTACTAGTGCAACTAATCAGTCAAGACAAACTGTACAGTTGACACTACAACCGTTCGGATGGGGTGTTCTTGTCCATCTAGGTTGTGAACAACTATTCTTGTTCGCAAGTAACTGATAAAGTGATCTTCGGTTCGCCCGATGACGACCCACCCTATCTAAGTGAAGAACAACAGAACGTAGAACTTGTTTAACCTTTCATGATTCTCATTCATAAAGGGCAAATGTGTAATAAAATGTAAAGCCAAGCTTTCAGTATATAACACTAGCAAAGGATGTCGTCTACATACAACACAAGAAACACCAACACGTTTCCGTCATTTTCTCATATGCGTAGAACTAATCCGAACATTGAGTGAATCCGTACGACAATTTCAAGATCTTGAAGTCTGCTTCAGTTTGTAAATGGACGGATTCAACTTACAAACCAGATGCTCACAGCCCTCTACAACGAACCCCTCTGGTTGTTGCATATCCTGAAGACTTCCATTAAGGAGTTTCCCATGTGCCTTTCATTGCGGCGGCCGTCACCGATCCGTGCAGATTGGTCCCCGATTTTCGTCTCTCGTGTTCGTCTTTTTCTCCGAAAGAGTTGGAGGGCCGTACCTAGGTTGTTTTTGCCGTCTTTTTGGTTTCCATCTCGGGGAGGAGGTTCGTCGGCTTTCCAGGTATCGAGGCGGTGGCGGGCTTCGACATTTCATCGGGGGTTGGTTGTGGCTCAAGTTGCACTTCTGGTAGTGGTCGAGGCGGAGGAGGGCTTTCCTCCCATGTCCCCTTCTCCCCTGGTGCTTAGGCTAAGTGGACGGGCAGCGAGGTAGGATTCTGGTTTGTGGGTGTGAGCTTGGGTTGTGGCTATGAGTGGTCGATCCTGGGTGTCGCCATCGTGTTTCGCTCGGTGAAGTTTGTCGGCTGAGGTAATGGCCTTAGTGTAGTTATAGTTTGTTTTGTGTTTGTGTGTTATAGGCTTTCGTGTTTTGTGTTTTTCTCCCGCTTGAGAGCGTTTATCATCTAGTGTGGGAGTATGTATTCTCCATTATTAGAGTTTGGTAGTTTTTGTTTTAGTTGGTAAATGCGTTGTTTAGTTTAGTTCTAGTGTAGTTTTTAGGCGATCTTCGGATTTGTCCTAAGTAGATTCAGATCTTTAGCTGTTTTGTTCAGTTGTTGGGCTGGTTCTAGTGTACATTTGTGTTTTATCCATGGTTCGGAAAACCGAATCGGACCGGCTGGTTCGACCAATTCAACCGGGAACCTGATAGTACAACGATCCGATTAGAGGTATTAAGCCGTTGGTGCCAGAAACCGATTACGAACCGTTTGCAACCGGTCGAAATCCAATAAAAAGGGAAACCGAGAACGCTTGGTCCAGCCCAGTAGTTTCCAACTTCGGTTTGTTCTGCCTTGTAACTCGCCACCAGATCCAACCCGATCCGAACATTTTCCCGACGTCGATAACTGAAACGCATAGATCGATCACAGTACAACCATCTCTTACCAAGAATTGAAAAATCTTCCTTCTGGAGGCAACGACACGACCGAGGAAGACGAACCGCGAGATGGCGAGGCGAAGACACAGGTAGATACCGACGGCGTAGGAGATCGTGTCCCGAAGAAGATGATTCGTCGTGCAAAATAATGGATTCAAGCTGCGGATCGGCTCTGTTGGAAGTAGGTGTGTGGCGCCGTTAAGTTGTGGGCTTTGGACATGGGAATGCACAGCCCAAACACTCAAGCCCAATATCTAGCTCTTGAACTTTTATCAACATTCAATATCAGATTAATGATAATTATATATACACTTATATATTATACATATAAAATAAACAAAAAATTTATATATTATATTAATAAAGCCGGTTACATTTTCAAAACCTTAGTTTTATCTATCAAAGTTCTATCGTTCCCATNGAATTACGCTGCTTGTTTTGATCGTATATCAACCTCAATCAATTACCATATATGTCAACTCCAGAAGCAATACATTTACAAGGACAAAACAGAGAACCTCTAGTTTGTTCTATTCCCATGAAATAAAAAAAGAGAGAGATAGAGAGAGACCTTCTCATGTATAAGAAATCGGCTGGTAATGGCTCTCAACTTATGTGAGGAAAACAAGCACAAATAGAATAATAAACAAAACGAGTAAGAACAAGATCATCATAAATTGGCCTTTGGCACTGGCCTTCTTCATAACCATAGCAACCTTTTTCTGCAAAACAAGAATATGAAATAGCATGAGGCATAAGTAACTACCATGAAAACTAAACAATTGACTAAAAGAGAAGCTGCACCATCATATTCTTAATCGTTGGTCCCAAATCAACTCTTCACTAACGAAGCGCTAGCAGAAAAAAGAGTACTCGAATTTAAGAAAATATTTTACCTGAACAAAATCAAGACGATTTGATGTGCTATCCATCTCCATGCCCAGATCATCTATGATTTTCTCCTGCAATAAATTATTTAAGATTGTTTATATTTCCCCAGTTAGCGAAAAGGTTATCATATACTCACATGTATCGAAATTGAAGAAAATTGAGCCAACTAAAACATCAGACATTTGTGAAATGAACTAATAATCACATGGGTTTGGACAAATTTACCTGAGCAAGGAGTTCCTCATGTATTGTAAGCCCAACACCTCCAATTCTTTGCACACTGGCACTCAGTTCATCCAGTTCTTCATCTTGTTGCCTGAATGAAATAAAAAAAAAAATTCTAACTAGAAACAAGAACATTGTAGAAAGAAATGAAAATGATTGTATTCCACATTCTTATGGGTACCCCATACGATGATATAGAATACCTATATATACAAGTATACAACCAAGCGAAAAAGGATAGCAAATGAACTTGCCTAATCTATGGGATTACAATATTTTCCTAGTTAATATCCTAATCAGTACCATATATACACATTAAAAAAAATAAAAGTTGAAAGACAGCATAAATTCACCTGAAAATAAAGGTGAGTGCATTGCTACCAGTATAGATTAAAATGCAAATACAGTTCCTTAGTGCCTAGTTCAAATACTTGAGTATGATTAACAAATAGTTCTATGCATTAGAGTACATAATTAGGAACCTAATTATCTATATATCTGATTTGACTAGAATCTATCAAGCTAAAAAGAAGATTAAGTTATGAAGTGAACAAAATAGTAAAAGCCAATCATAAGCGACTATGCTCATCTCTCTTCACTAAAATATTTGTTATATAATTCAGAGCCCACAGATATACAACCCACCTTCCAATGATACATAAGTTCACAACTTTGACCATAACCAATAACATCACTATGTAAACATACCATTTCAAACTTGAAAATCACTGCAGTGAGGGAGGGAGGGGATGGAGAGAGAGAGAGAGAGAGAGAGAGAGAGAGAGAGAGAGAGAGAGAGAGATGCGAGGTTCCCTCAGTAGGGAAATATGGAATAATTATTAGGTAATTTACGGTGAACTGAAAAATACACGTATAAACGAAAGTATTTCTTTAAACCGTTGTCAGGGTTCCGCATAGCAATAGGGAATTTCTAAATGATATACTAAAATGCCAAATAAATAAATAAATAATATAAAGATGGATCAAATGACTAAACGGATAGGAGCCATAGGGCCATAGTAGAATTTAACCACCAAGCCCACGATGGAAGATGTACAAGGAAGTGATTAAAAAGGCGTGAGGCGGGAAGAGAGGCGCTTGACTTATGAACGCGAGCCGAGGAAATAGCAAACATAATGATTTATAGACAAAGCATGAGTTATATGTATTCAGTTGAAAATGAAAAACAAAATATCATCCCAACAAGATTATTATTTTTTTTTTATTTTCCACAAACAAATAGTATCTTCAATTTTGACTCTAGCAGCCCTCTTTTACCAGCCCACTTGTAGCGATAAATTGTAAAATAAAAGGAAAAAGAAAAGATGGAAACAAGGGATGGTTCTGGCAGAAAGAAAGGGAAAAGACAAACAGGTCCAACGTCCAACATGGATGAGGATGGATAGGAGCCAGAATTTGAGAAGAAAAAGAAAGAGAAAGACAGAAAAAAAATATTGAAACTCTCAGTCACCGTCATGGCCACCGGCTGCCGGAAATAGGTCACGGTGCTGGGTTAAAGGAAATTCACAAGCCACTTTAGGTTATTAAGTTAAACAGTGAACAGAAAACACCGTGTCTTCATCAGACAATTATACACAGAAGGAAACAAATACTTTTGTTGCCACTGCCTACGAGATCCATAATTTTCAATATGAGCTTAAGGGTTTAAATAAAAACAATCTAACAAATATTCAAAGAATAATAATACACACCTAATCAGAAGTAACTGCCGATCAGATTCGGATGAAATAAAATCATCATTATCTTTTGCGCGGTAGTGATTTGATTGGTCAGGTTGATGAGCATTCGGTAGCCTCATAAGTTCACGACGCATTCCATTGAAATTAGAGGTGCTCGTGCCATGCAACTCCTGCCCACTTACTACTGATTGTTTCACATTTTTCACCTATTTTCAAAAGAAAATCCAGGTGTCAAGAAACATAATCAACCAAAGAACAAAATGATCAATCATTCAATCTATGATTACGCCTGTCAAGATATTTAAGAATTCTAATGACAGGCAAAAATATCAAAGCATTTCACACGGTTACCAATATGATCAACCAACGTCATGTCAATATAGCAGCTGATACCTGATTACGGGCATTGGTAGTCCATTTCCTTCTTTTATCAAGCTCCACCTCATCAATACCATATAGTGCAGGATCCTTAGATGCAACAGCAATGGCCTTGTCCAGTTCATCTACCTTCCTTTCAGAAAATCAACTTTCAGCACTGGCTATACAGAAATATCAATAAATAAAATTTTAAACATAAGACTTTTCTTCAATCTCAGGATGTAACTGAGAAATTAATGAGAATCACAAAGTAGTAGCAGCAGTTATTGTAACAGTCCGATAGTCATAGTTTTCACCATAATGTTCTAAGATAACAGAGGATGTAGTACTAATAGACTTCAATGACAGGTTAATAAGTTATGCTTCAACATCTGTAAAAATCGTTTAACTTCCATGAATTCAACTCAATATATCGGAGCCGGTTAATGAGTGGAATGCATTCATTGGAAATGCATGTAATCAATTTGTGAGCTAAAGAATATTACCTCTCAAAAAAGATTCATACATAAACTCAAATATACCTGCCATTCAATGCTCTCACATGCAGCAATGAGCTCCTTTGTAAGGCTCAGTTTTTCCTCTGAAGGCATCCGTTCCCATTGATGAAAGGTGGACAGCAACTTATCAATCTAAAAAAACATGTTCTTTTAGTTACACTGCACTTCAAGACTCCAACCACTAATAAATGACATAATTTTAGCATAATAAAGTGAAACCCAAAAGATACTATAAAATACTCATGAAAATCTTATTCATTAAACTCGAATTGCAGCATAAAATCATTCTAAAATAACCCTAATAGGACGACTAAGCGTAGACAATAATAATCTCCAGGCTCTACCACTTATGTATCACCACTAAGCTCCAAATTCAAACAGAAATGAATTGCATCACACTCAATCTATCCAATGATATCTCAGTCCAATCTGGAATGGCACATTCCAGAATCTCAACAGCTTTGAGACAAGGGCTCATAACCCACCATAAAAACTAAAGCAACGCGTCAAAAGACTCCAATATAAACTTGAGTTTAAGAAAAAACCTCTTGCTCAGGAAAATTTTGAGACACAAAACACTAAGAAGCGAATAACTCAGACTGGATTAGCGAAATGCTCAAAACCACCTTAAAAATAGAGAATTTAAAAACTAATCACCAACTGAGAATTGAATAAATCAAAACCTAAACAAAGAATGCACATACAGATTCTTGAATCTCCTCTTTCACAATGTAAAACGGGTCGTGGGCTGAGGACATAGTTATAGCAAAGTGATATGCGCTACCACCTGCAAAAGCACCTGGAAGCATCAAGATCCACAGCGTGAAACATAAAACAGATCAAATCACATATGAATATATATTCGTTTTAATTGCATCCATTACCTAAAGTGAGATTGATTTTTGTAATGAATTTTAGAGGTTTGTTAACCGACGAGGGTTGACACAAATACACCAAACGGGTCGGTCTCGACTGCTTATTTGGGTGGAGAGTCAACCCGAATGATGGGTAAGAATTGGGGATGAACAGAAGGCGACATTTTGACGCAGGAAAAAGTTTTACTCCAACCCGAGTAAATATGTTCTTGGTCGAGAACATAAATAACCCGGAGGATATCAAAACCTTTAACCTCGCATAAACTCAATTATTCACCACTTAATAACTAAACATCTGATAGATATATAGAAATAAACTTGTCCTACAAGAAATAAATCTCTACAATGATAATTATCTTGATTGATAATTTTAATTGAATAAAAACAAATTCTCTTAGTTTTATTATACATTTTATTGATCATCTTAAGTAATTAATCTTAATTAATTGTAAATAATTCTCTCGAACTTGACTGCCAGGCCGATGTTGAGCAACCATCGATCCATCATCCATTGTAGAATTTATATTTATATATAAAATAAGAATAGCCTTAAATCAAATATATAGTAAACATTTTCTGTCAATTTGCATTAATTACATACAAATTATAATAATTTTATATATTTTTTTTAACAAATCTAGAAGAATTAATTGTTTTCCCTTGAAAATTGATTTTATTGTTGAAACAGAATTGTAATGAAACGCGTCAAAATAGTTTTAATTTAACGTAGCAGTGTCTTTTTAAAACCGGTATTATTATGGAATCAAATAATTTAACCACGATTCAAAGCAGTATCATTTTAATTCAATCTATATCTCTTTTTTATCAATTCATTTTAAAGATTACATTTCTTATTTATTCCAAGTATTGGAATCAAATCTAACATAAAAATTAGAGTAGGAATGCTAAATAAAATTTAATTATATGGAATTTACACGTTTTTATATACATAAAATTACATCGCATATTTGAACTTTAATTTTTTTCACATATAATTATGCAATATATACAACTTAAACTAATCATTTAAAAGTAACAATATATTGTAAAGATTTCATTTCAATCATGGTAACATGTTCTTAAAATTATCGCAATATTCGGTTCAATATTCCACTAATCATATAAACATCTTTTTGTTTATGTTATCACGATTTTTGTTTATCATTTTGGTATCATCTGTAAAACAAAATATGGAATAATAACCCCATTAATAAATGTTGTTATTTAATTATATGCCAGATATTTTTTGTTACACGATAATCAGGCACCATACACTAAAATAAAAAAACTCATTCATAAAAGAAATATTTAGTTTATCGACTAAAGCATTTACTATATTGAGTAATAATTCTGGAAAAAATATTAAAATATTCCGCCTAAATTAATGTACAGAATCATTTTGGTTAAATATTGCGGTTATTACCTTTATTAGTTGCATGATTTAAATTTGGAATATAATATATTGACAAAACTTGCAGTTACTACTTTTATTAGTTGCATGGTTTAAATTTGGTATATAATATATTAAAAAAATAAAAAGTTTTTTATTTAAAATTTAAAATAAAAAAATAATTATTCATAACTTACAGGTCGATATTTACTTTGACGTAAACGAAATAGTTAATTATTTATAGTTTAATAAATTACTCAACTACTTTATTTTTTTTATTTGAATAGTTTATACAAAAAAAAATTATTTTAAGTAATGAAACAATATAAATTTTTATATTTATACTTATTCTTCATATATGTTGTTAAATATATGATAACATTTTACCAAAATAACTATTTTATAGAATCACACTATAGTTAAATCGAATTTCTGAATAATAATTTTGAAATGATACTTATTTTGAAACGAATATAATGTAATTTATTATCAGTTATGTGCACCACACGGGTTGTGTACTAATTTTAAATAGACATTTTTATGTAATTTTATACAATTTAAACTTTATATAACATATTTAATAAATTAGTATAGATAATTGTATTACATATTGATTCTATATTTTTAATTTATAAATATTACTTAATAAGAATTATTAATTTATAAATATTAATGAATATTGTAAAAACTCTCCCTTATTAAGATAAGAGGAAGACATAGAAGCAATGTTGGTGAGGTAGGGAGTAATGTTTTCCTTAATCTAAACCACAATTAAGTTGGATATCATTAAAAACCATTATAACTGTACCTAACATGGGCTGCCAGCGTATCAAATTGGACCGAACGATAAAAATTAAGCTCCAATTTAAGCCATCATAGTCAGATTAGCGGAAATACACACATCAAAACCAATAAAAATATGCGAATATAAATATTTTTGCTAATGATTGGTGGCAGCAGATGCCAATGTTAACCAATTAAGGAGAGTCTCAACTCCCTCACCTTTGGGAATAGTAATAAAAGTACGGTGACTTGAGTCCACAGTTGCTCTAAAAAATAGAAAACCAAAATAATCGAATTGCATAGAACAAAATCAAATCAAATGTAACCAAAATTTTGTACAATTTTTTGGACTCTGGTGTAGGGATGTTAGCTTTTGGGATGAGGGGTGGTTCGGTGAGGGTCTCCTTTCGAGCACTAGGCAGGCCTACCTTCCATTTCTGCAGGTGAAAGACCTGTGGACGGAGGGGGGTTGGGGTAGGGATAAATTAGAGAGGATTCTGGGTTCAGGAGCGGGCTTTAGTGATCAGGTTATTGATGAGATCCAGCAAATTCCTATCTCGGAGGGAGGTCCAGACGGTATGAGGTGGAGACTTACATCTTCGGGTGCATTCTCTACGACCTCGGCTTGGGGGGAAGTACGGCAGGGTGACCGGCCTAACCTTCTCTTCGGTGCCATCTGGACCGATCTACTTACACCGACCATCTCTGTTTTCCTTTGGCGCCTCCTTTTGCGCCGTCTACCGATTGATGCTGTGATGCAGGCGAGGGGATTCTCCTTCCCCTCGCGTTGCTACTGTTGTGCTCATATAGGCGACTTTCAGACTGAGACCTTCTCCCATTTACTTTTTGAGAGCGAGATTGTGAGGAGAGTGTGGGAGCATTACACCAGTTATACACATATTCCCTTACCCTCCACAGATTCTTTCTTTGAGCACCTGAGTTTTTTCAGACACCGCACACACAGTAGACACGTGGGCTTCCTTATTCCTTGTCTGATCCTTTGGGCCACCTGGACAGAAAGGAATAATGCGAAGCATAGGGATAACTCTTTTTTGTTTTCTCATATTATTTCGCAGGTTGATCGGCATCTCTCCCTTCTTTCTGCTTTGGGCAGACTCACCCAGAGAGACTGGATAGGCTGCACGACACCCCACCGTCTTGCACCACCTCCGCAGCCGCCTGCCCAGCATACTCGACCCAGAGCTGTTGTTTGGCTGAAACCCGAGTTGCATTGGGTTAAGCTAAACACCGACGGAGCTTTTGACCGACATACTCGAGTCGCTGGAGGAGGGGGCCTGATTAGGGATCACAACGGTGCCCTCATTACCACTTTCCATGCACCATTTCGGGAATCCTCGAGCTATGACGCAGAGATTCAGGCACTCCAGATCGGTCTCCAGATTGCTGCCTCGATATCGTCTCATATTTGGATTGAGTTGGACGCTGCCGCTGTCGTCACACTCCTGACCTCTGACCATCAGGGCACTTGGCAGATTCAGCACTCACTCTTGTGTATTAGAGCCATACTCCGATCGAATAGATATCGGATTTCACACATCTTTCGTGAGGGGAGGGGAACCGACCTGCTGATTACCTTGCTGGCATAGGGTCCTCCTCTACACAGAGACGTATTCTTCAGCCTGACGACATTCCTCTATGCCTCCGCACCCTTATACGGATGGATCAGATTGGATACCCATCGTTCAGATTTGGACAGTCGGACTTGCATTTTGGGACCTCTACCACACTGTGATGCTGACTCTTTCGCCGGGACTCTCCCCGGACCAGGATCTGTTATCTTTGTATTTCGTTGTCAGCTTTTCCTTGTATTTTTTTCTTATTTTTTATTTTATTTTTCGTTTGACTTGATGTATTAGACATTTGACTCGTAGCTTGTGACTTTCCAGCCTATTTAGGGCATATTTATATACAGGTTGGGGGTTCGGCCTTAATCCCCCACCCTCCTTGGGTGGTGTTTGAAAAAAAAAAAAAATATTGCATATTATATCCAGTGTTTCAATTTCGGTCATTCCTATTGCGTCCTCATTTTAATTTATGTAGCAACTAGGGCTGAGCACGGGTCGATTCGGTTCGGAGATCCAAAAATCTCCGGAACCGAACCGAACTTTGGAGATTCCAAAAACTGAATCTTCGGAACCGAACCGGTTCTACCAAATCTCCGAACCGAACCGAACCAAATTTCGGTTCGGTTCGGTTCGGAGATTCGGTTCTAATGGGTCGGTTCGGTACGGATCGGAGATTTCAGAGATTTCAGAGATTTTTTAAAAATTTTTTTATTTTTTTTTACTTTTTTTATTTTTTTATTATTTTTTGTTAATAAAAATCTCCAAATTGCATGTTAGATGGTACATATCATGGATAAAAGAAAATCATAAACCTCTCTCAATTTCAATAGATATTTCGTCAATTAATAGTTAGAATAGGTGGTTAACTTTCTTTTTTTTTTTTTATAAAAAAAATGATAATTATCTTTTAGTTGCAAAATATCATAATTTAATTTGAAAGATTTATATGCTAAACGTTTATATGCCAAAATCCACAAGTGATAAGACATACATGAACAACAATGGTCAATTTAAAGATAGTTACTTGTTAAATAAAAGGATATTTTAGAAATATATTATGTCCAAATAAATTAATCTCTTCCGGCCGATATCGTGAGATTCGGATATAGTACATATAAAGTTTGTTTTCAAAAAGTGAAGATATTTAATTTTATTAATAAAATAATCGATATATCCGTTCTTGATCTAATATTATGGTAAAGATATATTTCAATTTATTTTTATTTTAGAATATATCACCTTTAAATAAATATTTTTTCTCCAAATTTTGTGAAAGACTTACTTTATAAAGGTCGGTTTCCCAAACATTCAGAATTCAAATTATATTTAGTTGTATTTAATGATTTTCTTAATAAAATATTTGACATGTATCAAATTTTGTAATAGAAAGAATATATTAATTTATTTTTCTTTTTAATTATGTACAATACTTATGAATTATAATAGATTTTATTTGAATACAATTATGTACAAAGATGAAAAAAATATATATGATAAAGTATAATATATAT